CTGGTCAGTAACAGGACGGCAAGGTTAGCTCGGCTGGTCCCACACTGCTCCCAGCAGAGCAGCAATATAATAGCCGTTTTTAATTAGTGGTGACTGGCTAGCAGCAAGTCAGATATTGTTAGAAAAGCAGCATGCACTGCTGCAAATCATTCTTAGAAGTTAAAAAAGAGTAAGGTCACCCAAATATTATGAATTATGCATTTGGTATGGAAATTATTAAAGTGCTTACTGGGGGTTTTGGTTACCCTCAGCCACTCTCAATAGGACAGTTTTTTACAAAAGCCAATGATTTGCCCCTGCCCATTCCAGGAGCTCTAACAACTTTCCTTATAACATGGAATTTTCTGGAGGTCCACCACTGCAAAAAATTCAAATTAATTCAGTTCTGCTGGCACTGCACTGTATCTGCCCTGCACTGCTGGGAACCCTCTGCCCCACTGAGGGTCTCTGATCCCCTCTGACTGCAGGAGATGAAAAACCAACAGCAGCATAATGCTCTCTTCCCTTTTTTTAAGTGTTGATCCAAGGGAGTTATCTACTTGTGTATACCCTTCTAGATGGAGGGTAGGGATGGGGAGAGGCAGTGAGGAGAGGCTGAGGAAACAGGGGAGCAGAAAACACACTGGCATGTGTTTAAAAAACAGTTGGAGGAGGAAAGAGAGCCTTCCCAGTCTGCTGGTGGTTTTTTCAAACCTTTCTCTCTCATCATCTTCACCTCCTCACAATACACCCCCCCCAAAAACCACCCCCACCAACTCCTCAGGCTGGTAATAGGGAAGGAAAGAGAGTGTCCATTGCCTAGGGCAGCCCTCCCTGGCTGTTTTTCCCTCAGAGGCAGGGAAGGCAGGCAGGCACATTATTTCAGCATAGTTTAACTTGCCAGGAACAGGTGTAAGATAAATCAAAATAAACCCCCCTTGGAATGAAATCAGAGTCCAAAGAAAAGTTTGCATCAGTTGAAAGTCACTTCTGAATATGTTAAGCTTGCTTGGTTTTCTTATCTAAGCATACCCATACTGGAAAAATTAAAAGTTAAGTACTTTATGATTCTCTTCCTGCCACATTTTTATCCAACATACCTCAGGTGCCATTTGCCCTGTTATAAGTGAGAGAGAAAAATCTTCTGAAGTTCCTTTCATATTCCACTTGAATTTAGCTAAAACCTCCACAGTATTTCTGTAGCTTAAGAAGGCTTTAACAAAATTCTATTAAATTTTCCTCTTATATCAGTATTTTCTTCTTCTAATCAATGTTTCTCCTTCTTGCCTTTTTGTGGCAAAACTGGGAAATCAGGAAGCAAAAAACAAACCCAGAATGTGGATTATGGGTGAAACCCAACTTTATTGAAGTAAATAGCAACATTTTGATTAATTTAACTGGGACTAAGGTTTCACTCCATATGTTGCTGTAAAGGAACAAGAAAGCTTAGAATGTGAGAGTGAGTAATGGGCAGTATAATTCCAAACTTCTCTGTAATCACTTATTAGAAGACAAGTTTCCGGGGCACATTTACTTCTTTGATTTTTTCAAAGCTAATATCTTGTGTATGATCTTTCAAAATGTTAAGCGTCTCCTCAGCTATGAGACTGATTTTAATCATTCTTTAGAAACAACTCTCATATTCCTATCCTTGCAGATAGCGTCCTACCTGGTTAACTCCAGTCTGAGATTTCAGATCTTCTCAGCAGCTTTTGCAACGTTCTCCTTTGAACACATCATTTCAAATTAAATTTCAAACAATTAATTCTTCCATTTCAGATCTTTCACCTAGTACCACTCAAGAAACCCCTGAGATTACATGAAAGTTTTGATCATAGTAACTTAGCAAAGGCTTTTTTAGTTGACAGCCACTGTGTTAACAACTGCCCCCCCTGCAATGAACCCAGAACTCACGCGTGTGATAGATTACCCTTGTATATTGTCGAATCTCACTAAAATAGTGACATGTAAGTAAAGACAAGTAACTGAAGCCCAGTAATGCAACAGCCTGAAACTCAGGAATAGTTTCAGCTAGCTCATGAGAGATGTGCCAGCCTGAGTTACCCACTTCACAAAGGAAGGCCAATGTTGGGCTGCCTTACCCTGCTCAAGCCTGGTCAGAAACTCTGGATCGCTTGGAAGAGCGGTTATCATTTCTAAGCTATAAGCACTTCCAATGGCAACTCAGTGACTGAGAGATTCATAATGATAAAAAAGGAGGCACCACAAATCACCATAATGGATTGCTTTATTTTTAATGACTTTTTCAATGCAACGTTCCTACCATTAACATTTTTAATGTTGTGAGCTTTTACAGTATTCAAGGGTATCATGCTAATGGGCCCAGTTAAAGAACTTAATTGGAATAGGTAAAAGGGTGAACACAGAAGCTTTACTCTGATATAGCAAAACAGCCCAAAGCCTTGATGTGCCATCAGGACAATCTCTAATATTACAGAAAGAATGTCAGGTTGATATTAGGAAATGCAATTCATGACTATCTCTTGCTGGCTCAAAGGTCATGTACATGCTCAAACTAATACACCAACC